CCCTCAAAGAACTAGGACTAGAGGTCCTATTTAACCCACCTATCCCCGCCTTGATATTTTCTCAGAAGAATTAAAAGTATCCTACCACAGGGACATATGTGCCGTAATGCTTATAGCAGTACATTTTGTAATAGCTGAAACTTGGAAACACCTCTGAAGCTCATCAAGCAATTAATTGAGAAAAATGATGATTTCATTTATACAGTGGAGTAATACAAAGCCATAAAATGGATAAATGAGTCATTTAAAAATCATACTATAGGGCTGGGGATTTAGCTCAGTGGTGTAAGTGCCTGTCTGCCTGGCAAGCACAAGGTCATAAATTCAGTCCCCAGTACCGAAAAACAAACGAACGAACAAAAAAAACTTCCCAAAAATCATACTATAAAGTGAAAAAATTCAATGTACATGTGTAAATATCCCATTGTTTCTCTGTAAATGAAAATATAAGAATGCAAACATAAAATAGACACTGTGAAATATGAAGAAATTTTTCAAAAGGAAAGTACAACCAGGAAGTAAGGAAAAGGAAAGAAAAGAAAGAAAAAAATTAAGAAAATAGAATTGAAACAATCTTTACAAAAAAGGAGGTGCAACCAGGAAGTAAGGGAAAGGAAACAAAGGAAAGAAAAAAATAGAGAAAAAATAGAATTGAAACAATCTTTACAAAAGAAGATGTGAAGAGGGTCTGAATGGAAGGCAATAGAAGGAAAAAATAGACACCAAGATAAGTCATGAATGCGTACAAATTCCATATGATGTGTTCATTCTGTGTTTCTAAATTTTACCAATGAACTTAATAATAAAAAATGCCCTGTGTTTTAATCATTCCATCACTAGTTGGAATAGTGATAGCTACGTTATCTTCCTGATGATAGTAAGAAGCAGAAATGAGCCACAGGAAACTTAGTCACATGCTCTAGAGTGTGTGACATGGCATTTTACTGTGTGTTACAGTCCACAAATTCTGCTACATATATCATGTATGCAGTATACACAATTTTAGATAATACTACCTAATTGAAAGCAAATTTATATATCAAAGCATGATTAAGGCTAGAGCAAGCTAAACAATGTGTACTGAATTATGAGTATTTAATTCATTGCTCACTTATATTTTTATGTTAACATAGCTTGATAGTGTAACCCCAGCAGCATTACAGTAAGAACACTATACATTTTACAAAATATTTAACTGTTAAAAATAAAGGCAGGGCTGGGGATTTAGCTCAGCAGCATAAGTGCCTGCCTTGCAAGCACCAGGTCGTGAGTTCGATCCCTGTTACCAAAAAACAAAACAAACAAAACAAAACAAGAAAAAAGCACTACACACAAAGGCAAAATGTATTCAAAGAGATCAACTTGGCCTCATACTCACCATTTATATGGGAATGTGTTTTAAAATGTCACAAACTTCAAATACTGCCTTATGGATAATGGAAGAGGAAATTGTATAAATTTATGTATGATGGAATACAATCTCTATCATAAATCTGTAAACTTTTACCATAACCTTTTTTTCATGCAATTATTTCACCTTCTTAGGTAAAACAATAAAAATTACCAAAGGCAATGACATTCATCAAGGAAAATAAAGGAATTTGCCTCACAAAATCCCAAAACAATGATTCTCCTCAAAAAACTCAACTATTGACAAAATACCTTTGTTAGTGTTGTTACTGGGAAAAATCATACTATCATCTGTATATGTTTGAGATTTATTTGAAATAGTTAATCGAGTGTATCAACGTAACAGATGACCACATAAACTGAAAAGCCGTTAATTTTATGTGTAGAACCACAATAAGGAGGATTGTTACCAGAAAAGGATAAAAGAGAAAAACCCAAAAGGGAAACTTGCTTATTCTTCTTAAAGGCAACTGCAGTTTTCACCTTCAACTTGGATGCTGTCCCTTGGCTTCCTATGCAGACTCTTCATCCTCCAGCACAGGCCATTCAGCCTACTGATACACAATCATTCTGCAATGTGATATGAACTTGGAAGGAGGAGCAATACAGTGTGCCCTGGGGTTTTCTTTTTTGTCTTTTTGAGACATGATCTCACTGTGCAGTTGAGGCTGGCCTTGAGCTCACTTTATAGACCTGGCTGGTTTTGAACTCACAAGGATCCTCCTGCCTCACCTCGAGAGTGCTGGGATTACAGGCCTATGTCAGCATGCCAGGCAAACCCAGACATTTCATTGGAAGATTCAGATCTCCAGCTGAAGGACACACCTTTTGCACACTTCAATATCTGACTCTGAGTGGCCATTATATGCCAATCTTCTAAATATATTTGTGTGCCTTCCTTTAAAGCTGTTTCTCTAGTAAGTATTGACTGATAGAGATTTTAGTGGGGGGACCATTGAAAAAATGAAATTGCTTAGGGACTCCTAGAGTTGGATCTCCAATCTAATGAGTTCTAAAGACAGCATGGTCTGTCTTTCTAGTATTGTGGGGAATAATCATAGTCCTGGCTGTAAACTGTTTAAAACAATACAGTGCAGAGCCATGTGGCTGTTTCACCTCTAGACTCTCAGGAGATTATTTTACCGGACGAAGATCTCCCTACCCATCAACTCACTATTGTCTGATTTATCAAGTCATGACTGTGTTTTACAAAATAATGACCTATCATTAAATGGCAAATGAACACATGATGAAGACAGAGTAGATCCAAAGGGTACATGTAACTTACATGAAGAAGTCCCTCAGATGTCCATGGCTTCTACACTTACTATATCACCTTCTTTTCCCCACATACACTTATGACCTTATAAATTTTACTATACAGTCAGATTTTAGAATAAAAATAGGCTAGCAAATGTTTACAGATGGTCCTGCTTGTTATGTAAACACCAGCTCCAAGTACTGCAGCATTACAATAACTTTTTCAGGAAACATAAGTATGATACTGGTGAAATCAAATTTACAGTGAACTGCAGTTTGGGCAATGGTGTTATATTTTGCCTTGAAGCCCAGATATGCAACTGTATCAGTTGAATAATCTGATCAATTCTGTAGGTTGTAGTCAATTTCTTGCTTCAGCAACCTCTTTGTATGCCCAACGGCCTGACAAACAAAATGGGCATGTTGGTAGGAATGGAGGTTATTTGTGTTCAGTGACATGGACGCCCACTCACCAAGGTCGCTCTGGTGACAGTCACTGCTCTAGGACCCACATGCCAGCAATATAGATCATCTTTTTCGATAACATGGCACCATTCCCTGTGGTGATCAGCATTCAGCTTGGGGTCAATTTAATTACATTCAACTGCTTCCGTTGTGGAAGGAATGTTTTGTCCTTACTGAAATAGATACTTTTACTGGAGGTAAATTTACCTTTCGTACATGTCATGCTTCTTGCAAAACTGCCACGTATGGATTCAAATAATGCCTTTTTCACAATTAAGAAATTCTACACAGTATTGTCTGAGACACTAAGGGATACACTTGATGCCCAAAAAGGTGATGTGATGGGTGTCACGCTCATGGAATTCATTGTTCTTACCATGTTCCTTGCCATCCAGAAGAAGCTGGATTAATTGAGTTATAAAAGTCTTTTAAAGACAGTTAGGTTAAGCAGTAGCTCTCAGGGATGGGCAAGGATCTTGAAAAGCAGTGTTTATGCTCTCAGTCAGCAACGATTATATACTACTGTTTCCCAAAGCCAGGATTCATGGCTCTAGGAATGAAGGAGGGGGAATGAGAATGCCACTCACTGTTCCCTATAGTGGTATATTAGAAAAAGTTTGCTCCGTGTTCTCATGACCTTATATTCTGCAGGCTTTGAAAATTTTAGTTCTAGAAGTGGGAGGATTTGCACCAGTGATACCTATGTGCATGTAGTGAAGAGTTCCCCCTGGTTGTTTTGGTCCCACAAATTGAGGAAAGAAACTAAAATGGGAGTGACACTGTTGAAAGTGGTGACTGACACAGACGGTCAAGGGAAACTTAGATTATTACTCCAGAATGGAGGAAAGAAAAAACACACTTGGATAATGAGTGAAAGAAGTTTCTTAGTGTATCACCTCAGATTGTCATGCTGTTATTAAAGTCCATGGGAAAGTATAACTATCCAATCCAGGCAGAAGGTCAAATGGTTCACAGACTTCAGGAATGAAGGGAAGGGTCTCCATATCACGGAAAGAACCAAAACCAACTGAGTTACTTTTCAACCAAAAGGAATATAGAATGCATCTTACGAGCAGTTCTAAACACAAGGTATGACACCATGATCAGCTACAGAAATGAGGACTGGGCAGTTGTTTCCTAACATCCTTACAATGTAGTATGTTTACAGTCTTTAACATTGGTCGTTTTTTATCAACTGTGTTATAGTGTTCAAATTATGAAATGTTAGAAGAAACACTCACAGAAAATTGCCCTGCTCTGGGCAGGAGAGTTAGAGCATTTCCACTTGTAGACAGGACAATATGTAAAGTATAATTATGAACTCATCTTTGTGTCTTGAGATAACTCCTAAAGAAATGTGTATAGCTGTGAAGTTTATGGGGGGTGGATAGTGTCAGTTCACTGACTGCCAAGCTGAGTACTACATGGACAACTAAATTTGCCCAGCAAATTATGGATGGGGAAGACCTACCCTAGAAAAGATTGTTGACAGACAATTACAAAACAAACAAACAAACAAACAAAACAAAGAAAGACTTCCGGTCAGTTTTTGTGGAATTCCAGTGTCCACTGTCACACTGGAAGCCCTTTCTCAGTTTCCAGCACAGGCTTTTCAGCCTATACGATAGACTACTCAGTGTTCTGGCACAGACATTTTGGTTTCTGACACAGATTCAAGGGGGCATAATAAGTGGGCTTTAGGATCGAAACTGGACTGCTAAGCTATCCGGTGCACAGACAGACTGTTTGCTCTCTTCCACATCTGAATGTGTGTGTTGACACTGCAAAACACTCTTGTACATGCTTATATAATGCTATAACTCATATTAAAACTGCTTCTCTAAGAAGCAATGACTGATAAAGTATTACAGTTCATGATATCCTTTAATACAAGGGTACTGTCCATCTCATGCGTCTCAATCAGAAACACACAGCAGTACAGTTTGCTACAAAAATTGTGGTAAAATAACCATCAAATTATAAAATATTAACATGACATGTAAATTGTTCGTGATAAGAAAACATTTTTTTGTAAATCATATTGTTTTCAACATGAAAGCAGAATAGGTGAAATGATATGTTTCATATAATTATGTTGGGATATAAGGAGGTATCTAGTTAGGCCATGAAAAATACAATATTTGGTGATCCACAAGTTGTGTGTAAAAAAATGAGTTTTTAAAAATAAATTGGTCAGGGATTTGGCTCAGTGATATAAACGCATGCCTGAGAAGCGCAAGGCCCCGAGTTTGATCCCCAGTATCACACATACAAAAAATGCTTGCATGTCTAAATTCCCAGACATTTACATATATAACAATAAATTCAGGTATCTAGTTAGGTCATGAAATATACATTTGGTGATCTGCAAGTTGTGTGAAAATACATGAACTTTTAAAAATATATGTACATCTCTCTAAATATGCATATTTACATATATATCAGGAAGTTAAAGCTATCTTTTTGTATATAGAATATGAACTGTACAGAAGAAATTTAAATTAAGGCTAGTAGGAAATCCCAGTTAAAAACTACTAATAAAATTTATTTTTTTTTTATCAGACTATACCTCACTATAGTAAAAAAAAATTCCAAAACTGCTTATATAGTAACCGTACATGGAAATGATAAATATATTTCATTTCAACTCATCTCATTAGAAAATACTATATACTAGGTTCAAAGACTGGCTTACCCAAAAATATTGTTTACTTTGTTAATTGGGTTTTTTTGGGGGGTTACAAGGAATCAACTCATGACTGCATGCTTGCCAGGCAGGCACTTGTGCCACTAAGCTACATTTCTGGCCCCCTGAAATATATTATGTCAATATTGTTTGTAGTAAAGACTATAGATAAATATTTCAGTATTTAAGTAATTTTTCTGAAAAACAAAGAATACCTCCCAGATGTATTTTCTGAAAAGCCCATGAAGACATACTGACACCAAATTTTACATGTCAATGTGTACAAGTTTCAATACAGGAGGAGTTTTCACCCTTTTTTCCACATAGGCTTACATACATAGGGTCACTCTCCAGTGAATTCTTTCATGTAGGTGATAAAAAATGTGTTCATTGAATTTTTTCCACATTGTTGATATACATGGGGCTCCTCCTCAGAGGGAGTCATGTATATAAATGGAATTACTAGCAAATCTTTTTCCCAATGGCTCATATGCATATGGTCCTATCTGTGTGAGTTCTTTCATGCATTTGACGAGATTTGTGTGTGGTAAATGTCTTTCCACATTGCTCGCACATATAAGATATTACCCTAGTGTGAGTACGTTCATGTTTTTTACAGCTACTACTTTCAGTGAATGCCTTCCCACATTGCTTGCACACATAAGGTTTCTCCCCAGTGTGAGTTCTTTCATGTTTTTTACAACTACTCCTTTGAGTGAACGCTTTCCCACACTGTGTGCATACATAAGGTTTCTCCCCTGTGTGAATTCTTTGATGTCTTCTGTATACATTCCAAATAGTGAATGCTTTTCCACATTGCTTGCACATATAAGGTTTCTCCCCATTGTGAATTCTTTCATGTATTTTACAGTAAGACTTCGTATTGAATGCTTTTCCACATTGCTTGCATGTGTAAGGTTTTTCCCCATTGTGAATCCTTTCATGTATTTTACAATATGACTTTGAATTGAATGTTTTTCCACATTCCTTGCACATATAAGGTTTCTCCACAGTGTGACTGCTTTTATGTCTTTGACAACCACTGTGGGTAGTGAATATCTTTCCACAATTCTTGCCCACAAGTTTCTCAGCAAAGTGAGATCTTTCGTGCATTTGACAATATCGGTTTGTAGTGAATGCCTTCCCACACTGCTTGCACACATAAGGTTTCTCCCCAGTGTGAGTTCTTTCATGTGTTTGCCTCTTACTGGGTGTAGGGAATGCCTTCCCACACTGCTTGCACACATAAGGTTTCTCCCGAGTGTGATTTCTTTCATGACTTTGACAATGACTGTTTGCAGTGAATGCCTTTGCACAGTACTTGCACACATAGGGTTTTTCCCCAGTATGAAATCTTTCATGTGTGTTACAAGAATTCTTGGTAGTGAATGCTTTTCCACATTGCTTGCACACATAAGGTTTCAACCCAGTGTGAGTGAGTTCGTGTCTTTGACAAGAGTGGTGTGTAGTGAATGCCCTCCCACACTGCTTGCAACCATAAGGTTTTTCCCCAGTGTGAGTTCTTCCATGTACTTGACACTCATTTCGAGTAGAGAATGCCTTCCCACACTGTTTGCACACATAAGGTTTCACCCCACTGTGAAGTCTTTCGTGTTTTTGACAATTATTGTGTGTACTGAATGCCTTTCCACAGTGCTTACATGCGTAAGGTTTCAGTCCTGTGTGAATTCTTTCATATACTTTGGAATAACTCTTTGAAGTGAATGTTTTTCCACATTGCTTGCACATATAAGGTTTCATTCCCATGTGATTTCTTTCATGTACCTGACAAGATTTATGGGTAGTGAATGTCTTCCCACACTGCTTGCATACACAATGTTTCTCATCCATGTGAATCTTTTCAACAATTTTACATCTTTGAGTGTGGAAGGAATGTTCATATTGCTTGCTTTCATATGGTTTCTTTCCATCATGAATTCTTTCAGCTATCTGAAGACCAGTGGGGGTGCTGGAGGCTTTCACATTTTCCTGATCAACAACCACCTTCTCTTCAGAATGAGTTCTTTCACTAAATTCAGAATAGGATTTCATGCACTGCTCATGTTGATAGGGTTTCTCTCCATTCTTTGTCCTTGTATGCTTCTGAAAGTACTGGAAATCACTGCAGGGTTTTCTATGTTCATTACATTTACTCAGCTTGTCATCAAATTCCAAATACTCACGTAGTTTTCCTCCAGGGTGAGGTAAGATGGGGATATTCAATGATAAATGAACTATCAGGGGCTCTCCACAAACAAAACTTACAGCTGGCTTTAAAGCGGATTTTGTCTTGTCTTCATTAACATCTGAAGGCCAAAGGTACATGTTTTTATGTTGATTGTAAGTTTTATATTCATACCACATTGCTTCCTCTTCATTTCTGTATAGAAACAAAACATTAATTATGATAAAAATATCTCCATAGCAAGAATGTAGCAGCCCAAGTTCCAGCTCAATGCCTTCTAAGATATTTTCAGAAAAATTTGGCTGATAGCTCTGGAGGATGATTGCACAACACGCTTCCCAAAGGACGATATTCATTTGGAATTATAAATTGGTTTTGCAATAATTAAGATCAAGTTTCATTTAAGTCATTGATTCATATGTGTATAACAATTTGCTCATTTTTGAAGCTTTATCATAATACTCTACTCTTCTATTGCTTAATTTTACTCCCTATTTTATAGTTTAGTATCCTATATAATGGAAAACACTTGATAATTCACATTGTGTGTCTGACTTCCTGCACTTAACATTGTGAGGTGGAGTCTCATTGTGTGTGTGTGTGCGTGCGTGTACTGAGTAATGAGTGTAAGCAATAGAACACATTTCTACATTTTTATTTCATATTTTGAGAGAAGCTTTCATTAATCACTCACTTGATCAGGATGAACTTTATGCAGTCACCCTGCCAGGTTAGTTTCCCAGAGTGTTCAGAGTGTAAGAAGATAATATCATGTTGCGCCAAAGCACATCCTCAGTTTTGATGCACCCAGTGATGGGCCACTAGGTTCTTACTAGAGCTTGCACACTGTGAATTATTTCCAGAAGTCATCTACTGTGAATACCCCTGTAGATCCAGATTTGAGCATAAGCACACATGCATAATTAAAACATTATACACTGAAATGCTTTCAGAACATGCATAGGTGTTTTGAATGGATAATATGTAAACTTTCAGTTTTACTTTTTGTTATGTATATATTGAATATAAAAATGGTTGTTTTACATTCCTACACATAATGCATTAGGGTGTTTGTAAAAATTTTAAAACACGAAGGATCATAATCCTCTGGAAGATGTTTCCAGAATCTATTAATACGTTAGCATTTGTGTGTATTTTGAACATTGCTTCAATAGTAGCAATTGCTACATAACACATATTTAATATTCATATATACATACATATATATGAGTTCCTGCCAAAATTAAGATTTATTTTTTCTTATATTCCTATATATTAAAACTAAATATAATTTCATACATTTTCATGATATTGAACCTGAAAGAACTTCTTTATACCAATGTATGAGACAGTGTTTCTTGTTGTGTGTCACTATTGACTTAGTTTCCTGATATTGAATTTCTATTCAATTATCAAATTATAGAACATCAACCTGTATGTGTATCAGTAAAATTTATGATAGTAAGTAAATTTAAACATGACCTTATTTATAAAAATTCCTTGTCATATTTCTGATCACAGACACTGTTGAGAAGCACTGCTTTTCCTTATGAATGCCAATTACCTCAGCTTTCTTGAATAATTTCTGAATTCTTCTTCCATTTGCTGGCTGTCCCAAGTCCTTCCTGGATTGTAGCCACAGAAACACAAACAGTCACCATATCATTACATAAAAATTAGAGGTAGCAGTTAGATTCATGGTATAATGTTAACAAGACTAATATACTGTTCAAAATAATTTTGTATTCTATTTAATGAATCTGCACCCATCGGCAAGAACAAATTATCTCTAACTGTACATATAAGAAAATGATGTGTTCCTTACCTATAGCATTTATATTCCTAAATGTTTCCCACATCACATCTCTGTAGAGCTTCTTCTGGGATGGATTCAGCAGAGCCCACTCCTCGTTGGTGAAGTTCACGGTTACATCCTCCAAGGTCACTGCCTCCTAAAGAATCATATGTATTTTTCCTGAAAGAAGGTTCATACTCATACCCTGAGAACTTGACTCCTTCAAATAAAAACTCCATGTCTACACTGTTTCTCTGTGCTACAGAAAAAGCAAATTAGAAAGCACTGGTTGCCAGGGATGGTTATTGAAATTATATCTGTGGACTGTTTCCAAAGTGAAGCTCAAAGAAGTACCTTCCAAATCACAATTTCCAGAAAAAAGCAGAAAGAAAAGTATCGAATTAAGGTTGCAACAGATAACAGCTTACACCTCTATTGACATTAGGCTTTTCATATGATTTAGACATTCTTATGTTGCACATAAGTAGCATTTTGAAAACTGAAGATTTTTTTTGAAAAACATTAACTGAACATTACACAAAATATACACGTTGCATTCCTTATTTCCTTTTGCGTTTTCACACCATGGAAACCAAGTGATATTTACACTTGTGTGCCTACTTTGTTTCACTCGACAGTGTGTTTTCTAGGTATAAACATTTAGCAAGTAGTTTCTCAAATTATTTTTCTTTATGGCAGAGTAATGTGCCATTCTTCAAAATACCATCATATCTTTTTTTATCTATTCAACAGTGGATGAACATTTGGGCTAGTTTCAAGATGTATCTATTATAAACTTTGCCTGTAAAAACATGAGTGTGTATATATATTACTGTGATGTGATGCTCTTATTCTTTTACGGAGAGATCAAGAAAGGAAATAAGTGGATGAAATGGATCTTCAAGATTTTGTGTTTTGAAGTGTCTGACAAAATATTTAAACAAATAGGGGAACCATGTGGTTTGGGGGAATAAGGAGGGACAAGAAAAAATGTTTTATAAATTAAGAGAAGAAGAGGGTCTCAACGAAAGTAAGGAGTATACAAGAAAAGCAGCAAGATATACCATGTACAGGCACATATTCCCAAGATGAATATTATCACTATGTAGCAGTAAAAAAAGTAAATAAAGAGGTTTATGTATAATATTAAGATATCAATGGAAAATGAGTATTGGAGCAAGTCAATGGACAATAAAATAGGAGTTGAGTGGCTTATTAACTTAGAGCTTAGAGATGCCAAACGATCACCCTGCAATCACATAAAAGAAACCATACCACTGTCTAAGCGAGTTAATAAGGGGAAGGATATGTAGAATATATATGAAACACATTAAAAATGAGGATCTCACAAAGTGAATAGGCACTAATTACAAAAGGAAAAACTGCTGCCTGCACTGCCAGCACTTGGGTGCCTACTGTGCAAGGATTTCCATGAGTCTGATGACTGCCAGGAGTTCAAAGTCCTGCCCCAGCTTGGAGGTAACTTCAAGGCCAGTCAAGATTTCAAAGTGAGACCCTGAGAGAGACAAACCCCACTAAAAGAATCCTGAAAGAAAATACTGTGCCACTTACAAGTCACTCCTTTGCTCTGTTCAAAAAAATGATAACTGTGTAGTGTAAGAGAAGACTGACAGCTTTCACCACCTCGTGAGCAAGATGATATCTGCAAACTGCACTGTACATAAAACACATTCATGTTACACCTTTGTCCCAGTTTGTGAATCATACGGAGAATGACAAATGGATCTCAGGAAAGAAAGACAGCCTTCTATGGTTCTACTTGTACATACAACAGTGACTCATGCTGCAGCTTGTGTTAAAAATATCTGAAAGCAATCGCAAAATGTTTTGTTTTTGTTCAGAGACAGATACGTATGCATTTAGATATATAGATGGTATATTTATCTACAAAAACTGTATATTGAAAAGGGAAAGATAAACTTGAAACCTTAGCATTATATAGTAAAATAATTAAAAAGGCGTTTCCTCTGAGGAGAGAGGTAGCTAGCACAATTTGAAGGAGAAACTGAGTTTATGAAAGCTTGGGAAATAAATAAAATAGGACTAAAATACTTGGATTTTGTATAGATAGTAAAGACCAATGAACACAAATCTCTAAAACACTGAAAACACATCTAACTACAAATAAACAGTGAATATAGAAGAACATTAAGTCCTGAGAAAAATCAAGGAAAACTGAGGTGTGGAAGAACACAGTCAGACTTATGCAAAGAGGGAGAACCCGATACCCTCTCCACACTCATCTCCTTTCCCTTAGAGTTTGCTAAAATGAACAGACCAGTAACTTCTTTCTAATGTCCAGAAAATGCATTGTGCTATTATACTTCTAGATTCGTGATTAATATTAAGTAAACTTGAAAAATCCTGAACCTCATGACTAACAGAATTGATAAGAAAGCACTTTTCCCTTCATTCAGGCATCAGCAATTGTGAAGAATTCCCATAATATATCCCCGTGCCATTTCTATAATACTTTGTGAAAACTGCATGGAGAATACCACTATTCATGGAAAAGCACACAGGGTAAACTGAGGAAACATTGCGAAAGAATGAGAGGGGTAAAACAAGACAAAAAAAATGACTGAGTCCTGTAGGGAGTTTATCACATATATACTCTTATCCACTGCACTGTGCACAAAGATATTTAAGTTATTATTGTCATCATTAAATCTTACCAAATTTGAGAATAAATTTGATATAAAATATTTAAATACCCGGGGATTTAGCTCAGCAGCCTAAGTGCCTGATGGACAAACACAAGGTTGTGAGTTCAATCCTAGGGACCAATAAAATAAAAATTAAATAGCAAATTGCCAATAATAATGTTTATATTCATTTGCTTGTGTTTGTTTGCCTTTATACATGCACATTTGCATAAATGTTGAATTTATCTTCTGTATATCAGTAGTTTTCATATCCTAGGAAAATAGTTATTTGTTTTACAAAAAATCACCACTAATACTTTTAAATACCCAATGGATAACAAATAACAGAAACCAATTTGAACTAACACTAGCCCAGAGGCAGTGGAGTAGGGCAGTGAAGTATCTCAGACATTTACTTCACAAAAATACTATGTTCACTAGGCTGTCAACACAAACCTCGAATACTCTTTTCTTCTTTCTTCCTTCCTTCCTTTTCTTTCTTCCTTTCTTTCTCTTTCTTTCTTTCTTTCTTTCTTTCTTTCTTTCTTTCTTTCTTTCTTTCTTTCATCTTTCTTCCTTTTCCTTCCTTCCTTCCTTCCTTCCTTCCTTCCTTCCTTTCTTCCTTTGTGTATGTGTTTTGTTACAGGGAATGGAACTCAGAACCTTACACTTGGCAGGCAGGTACTGTGCTGCTAACCTATGTCCCCAACTTGAAAAGACTTTTCACAGTAATACTGAGAATACATTAATTCAATAAATTCCATTCTAATTCCAAATGTTGAAAACAACATTTTGCACGATTAAATTTTTAAGGACCAAAACCCTCCCAAACTGAAGCTTTTTCACATGAAGTTAGCCATCTTTAAAGTATAAAACTACTCTCTTGTCTAAGGTCTCAGTACTGAGCAGAGACAAACACACTCAGTAAGTTCAAGTTTGACCAATGGTTCTTTTGAATTTAAGTATATACTGTTCACTGAGCACAAAAAATATCTACAACAAAACACTCTGTACTCAAAATCAAAATAGTCAAAACACTGACAATTCAAAGCACAGTCCCAGTAAAATGTTTCAAGTAGAGATGGTGTCCAAGTCAGGTGATATTTCCTATTATAAGCCATCATATTGAAGTTCGGATAAGAGGGAAACACAGTCATACCATTAACAGAAAAAAATACACTGTTTCAAAGTAGCTCTTGATAAAAAGAGAGGGGCATTCGCTTGGTGCAGAAAACTATGTAGTTATAAATTCTGCCCTTTGCACTCTAGGCAGAATTTCACTTAAAAATTATACTGCATAGAGAACTAATCTCGAATTCACAGATACTTGTCTAGGGCATCACCTTATTTCCAAGGAAGTCTTTCTAGTCTTTTCAGAATGACCCCAATACATTGTCAATGAACAAAATCCTTAACATTTTTTATATTAAAATGAGTAACTGATGCTGTTAAACATAACCAAGCACTGTGATCCTGCTTTATAGTCCTGCCTGGTGACCCACACCTGTGGTCAAACACTCTGGAGAGTTGGTAGAGGACACAGTGTTAAGCTCAGCCTGACCGCCACAGCAATACCCACTTTGAAAATTCAAAATAATAAAACGTAACAGATAGAAGGCTGGATGTCACTCACAGTCAAAAGTCCCCAGTTTCAGTACCCGGGAAGACATACTCAGGGAAAAATTTTGGTTCTGGAGCAGATTTTCCTACCTTTTCATCCCCTGCCTTCCCACACTACACGAACTCCTCTCTGTTCCTTTCTTCTTAACACAGGAAATCTGTTCATGCCTTCCACTGATATGCATACACACCTGCACGTGGTACTTGGCACCTAGTGCAAAAGTCTTTGTCATCAAAGCCCTAACCTCACGCAACATGCAATTTTCGAACACTGTCTTCAAGCAGTCAATAAACTATAGAAAATATGTGAGTAGTGCTTTTACCTCTGCTCTAAAACATGAATTATATGTACATATAAATACTCTAAGGGATTTGAAAATGGGCTTAAAAGGCACATTGTCATGAAAATTGTCCTTTATGACATTACTTTGGCCTCCCTCATTTCAACTAGAAACATATCTAATCAACAGCGTTACAAGAGCTTATTTACTTGTTAGTTTATTCATTTATTACAATGCTCTGGATATAATAAAGGAGTTTTATTATGGTTGACAAGGACACCAACAATGATTTTGATTATAGGCAATATTAAATGGTGGTTTATACATTTTATGTAATTTATAAATACACTTTAATGACTTTATTGTGTGGAAGTAGCTGGTAATTTTGGAAAAGACTATCAGTAAAATGAAGCCCAGAGTAGACAATACAACTGGTGTCTAAGATCTCACACTTGAAATTTAAAGGAATTTATGATAAGCAGATGTCTTAGATGTCCACTTTCCTGTACCTTGGACAACAAACCCATCAAACTCAATGGAAAGAGGTAGGGTTTAGGTTGCCTCAATCTTTCAGTTCCTGTTCTCCTTGTTCCAGGTTTGGAGTGGCATGACA